TTCGGGGGTGGAAAGTACACATTCTTCTATATCTTGCCGAATTATAGCTTCATGCAGACCTACTTTGCTCAATTAACATTGAGGTATTTAATATTCCAGTGATATCTGGAAGGAAGTCACCTAACTGGGAGTTGTTCTTTTCTTTAACCTTAGTGGGCCTGATGCCTTTCAGAAGACAAAACCCTATTCAACTTCTGAGCAACCTTTTCTCCTCAGGGACAGAATGGAAGCAAGGTTTCCTACTCTTTTTGTTCACATGGAAAAAGGAACTGCTTTTTCATGTGCAGCAGGAAAGGAAATTGCTTCCAACCTCTTTGCTGCACATGAGGAAAAAGAATTGTCTCTACCTGCTCCAGCATTGAGAGACAAAGTCTTGCTGAGCTATCTTAGCCACAGGGAGGACTTTAATCCAATCTGCAGCAGAAAAGTGCGGAGAGATTTCTCAGCATTGGGGGAAGATGGTGGGCTAATGAAATAAGAGTTTGGACCTGGGAATAGGAACATATACAGGGAAGGTTAAAAAAATCAAGATGGGAAACACTTCTTGCACGATAGAAATCCAACCCCCTTTTGTGTGCATGGGGGAAAAATCTCTGGAGGTCCATAGTCCTTGCTCTACAATCTGGAAATGTCTCCATAAATGATCTATATTTCTGAACTTTCTTGTATCTGGCAGAGGAAGTGACTGTTCTAGCAGCTATTGGTCCTGGGTGCTACTCAAATGGTAAAAATGTACAGTTTTAGGCTGTGCTTACAGAACTCAGAGCCTGTGATTTATCTGATGATAATTTACTAAATTAATTCAATTGATTCATACAATTCACTAAACTATAAACAGGACAACCACATTCTAGCTTACATAAAAGTACACTATAAAATAAGTAAATAACAAGGCTCAAAAACTTCACAAGTAGGTCTATGCCTAGTGCTCTTCAGTCAGGAGGACACATTGATATCAGGGATGTTCCAAAAATGATGCTCAAGAATTTTCCAGGAGAAACTAGGATTGGTGGAATCCAAAGCATTTCTATTTTCTCAGACATTTCCTTAGAAAAAGAAAAAGGTTAGGACACCTACGGCCATGGAACTAGGATTATCTAGCTTCCAATAAAAGCAATGAGATGGAAGAGATAAAATGGAAAGAAAAACCATTAAAATGGTTTTCTATTTTATATTCTGCTTGTGCAAATTGACAAAACATACACTAAATCAGATTATTATTTTTTCTATTCTGATTCCTTAGCTGATCAACAATTCATTCTGGACTGCTAACAGATTTTTTAAAAATACATACATAAAGAATGATTACAAGAAAAACACCCACATACTACAGTATTGGGGACAAAAACTCACAAACCCTTAAGTTTAAGTTAGGATCAAGCTGTATCCCATGTGAGTTCTAAGATACTAGAAACCAGATCTTCAGAGTTTTTCTAAAGGCCAGCAGAGTTGGAGGCATTCAAATCTCTGGGGAAAGCTACTCCACAGGATTGGCACAGTGATAAAGCATGCCTTCTGGATCTCCTTAGGTGACACTGCTTACTAGACAGAACTTGGAGCACACCAGCCCTAATATGGTTATATAATCAGAGATAATTCACCATAGTTGTGGTTAATTTTCAAAAGGTTCCTGATAATCAAGGCATGAAATGAAGCCTGGATTCATACATTGTAATAACCCATGCATTACTTAACCCATGATCTGTTGGATAAGCCTTAATTGGTTGAGTACCTAAAACATGCCAAGCCAAAGCCAACCAGACATATTATTGCTTAAAATGATGAATGAAGTTGGTACACTTATATTGTTGACAGATCTGGATGATAGTCTTGAAAATACAGAGAAACAAAGTTTTTGATTATACAATGGAGAGTTGGGTTTACATGTCACATTAAGTTAGCTTTTCCCAGCCTCAGTACCCTCCAAATGTATGGGCTTCTGAGAATTCCAGGATTTGAAGTCCAAATTCTGGACAGTGTCTAGATTGGAAGAGACTACACTTAGACATAATGTATAGGGTTTTAAAAATCTGCCATAATGGTGAAACAAGGCATGACTTTGAGTAATGTACAAATTCAACATTTTTAGTAAGGTCAGCAAAGGGGAAGAATATGTCAGTTTTCTGGTATTTACTTTGCATTTTACTAGAATCCAGAGGTCTAGCAATTAAAGCCAGGTGCCAAATACGGTCTTTGGGCTTTTGCTCAGTGGTTTAACATGCTATAGCTCTTCTCTGGCAATAAAATAATTGATATAAGATGGGTTTTATGGACTATGGCTTCCATTCTGCATTTACAGGATCTTGCCTAGCCAAAATATGATACGGTATCTATAGTTTTCAGACAAAGATTGGTTAATATAAAATCAGTGATGCCTGGTATATCTTGCTGACCATCAACTTAAGCTGTTGCTAATCTTAAGCATCTTTGCATACCTCATTTCATACTCTAAACAGTTAACTTGATTCCATTCTCTGTTAAAGGGTGGTTAAATATTTATATTTTAGTATCTTGTTGCTGTGGTGGGCCTTTTTTGACATGCAGAAAAACCACGAAGAGCAAAATACTGTTTATATCTTGGATTAGTGACAAGATATGGTCAATATTATGTGTTGAAGAGGGAATTGTTGGAAGAAATGTCCATCTGGGCTCAGTTCCTAGTGGGAAGAAAGACACTGGAAACATGGAGACTGCTTGGAAGGATGGTTTAATGGTGAACCAAGGTATCTGCTGGGGGCATGGAACTGGGGTCTTTTGTTTCTGTTTCCTTTAAGGTTTTTATTTCTCTTTTAGGGGAAATATTCTGCCTTTTTAATATTTCCTAAAAAAACTTCATTCTTCTATGAGGGGGATGGGTGCTAACTTTCTTCAGAATATTGGTATTGCCATGGCATTCTTGTGTCAGTTTTAGCTAGAAATGAAATATTATTGTCTGAGATACAAGCAGTCCCTGATTTATGACAGTTTAATGTTGGTTCAAAGTAGCGATGGCCTTGGAAAAAGTGATTTCTAACTGTACCAGCACTTACAACCATCCCCTTACCCCCATGTTCACGTGATTGCAATTTGGATGCTTGGCAGTTGGCTTGCATTTATGACCAGTTGCTGCATCCTGCAGTCATGTGATCACATTTAATAACCTTTTTGCTGATTTCCGGCAAAAAATATCAATTAGGGAAATTGGATTAGCTTTATAACTATATGATTCGCTTAACAACCACGGTAAAATTGTCATAAAACCAGATCCAACTTGACATGATTGCAATGTCTTACAATGGAAATTTCAGTCCCAACTTGGTTGTAAGTTGAGGATTAACTGTACTTTTGATATTAAAAAAATATAGGTATCTCTCAGCAATATAATTAAATTCATAGTCCTATATGCACAAATCTATTCCTGGTTCTATATTCTACAAGTTTTCTTCCAATTCTATGGCTAGTTAAACTTAGAGGAAAAATATTATTTTTGTTGATAAATGTTTTGGAATCCCCCCAAACTGGAGACACTCTGTTAGAAGACTCCAACCTATTTTTTGCCCAACTGATACAATAAGGGCAGTCTCATTGTGCCAACAATATAGCTGAACAGGTACTGCATTTGTGATTGCTTGCTTCAAGATATTGAAGACTAAAGATCTAAAATGTTGGTAATTTCTTACAAACTTTGTGTACAATGTCTCTAACACTGTCTAGAGTACTGTAGATGAAATTTGATGAGGTGCAGCACATAGATATGTTAAATAGAGAAGAAGAGATTTTTACTAGGGTGGGTGGAATCCTTTGAGCACATTTGATACAAACGAGAAAACAGATTGGCTCATTTGGGCATCTCAGAGAATAAGCAATAGCTCAATTTATATGTCCCCCTTAATGTCTAATTTTGGGAGGGTTCTTGGGACACACACTGAACCATGAACTAGCTACATGGTTGAGTCCACAAAATATAAGGTAACAGATAATCAGAGTTGGAAGGGACCTTGTAGGTCATCTAGTCTAACCCCTTACCCAAGCGGGAGACCCTACACCATTTCTGACAAATGGCAGTCCAATCTCTTCTTGAAATTCTCAACTGATGGCGCTCCCACAACTTCCCAGGGCAAGCTGTTCCATTGGTTAATTGTTCTCACTGTCAGAAAGTTTCTCCTTATTTCCAGGTTAAATCTCTCCTTGTTCAGTTTCCATCCACTGTTCCTTGTCTGGCCTACAGGTGCTTTAGAAAATAGCTTGACCCCTTCCTCCTCTCTGTGGCAGCCCCTCAAATATTGGAAGACCGCTATCATGCCTCCCCTGGTCCTTCTCTTCACTAGACCAGCCAAGCCCAGTTCCTGTAACAGTTCTTCATATATTTTAGTCTCCAGTCCCTTAATTATCCTGGTTGCTCTTCTCTGTACTTTTTCCAGAATCTCAACATCTTTTTAATAGTGTGGTGACCAAAACTGGATGCAGTACTCTAGGTGTGGTCTTACTAAGGCTTTATAGAGTGGTATTAATACCTCACTTGATCTCGATTGTATCCCTCTTGTAAAATGAAGTTGGCTAGACTGTGGTTCAAGGGCATCTTGTATGTGCTTATACTCAGAGCATCACCTATTTCAGCTGTCAAATACTGTAACTTAAAACATTGCAGAGCTATGGTTTTAAGGAGAGTGCATCTTCCTCTTCCGAATAAAACCATTACCGGCCATAACGGAGGACGAGGAAGCGCTGAACTACGCCTTCCACTACTGAAGCACTCTCGGTTGTGAAAAATGAAGCCTCTGCAAAAGTTGAAGCAAATCTCAAAAAAAGATTTATTTTACGAAGCAGCCGGTTGCCCAACCCGAGGGAAGCCGAGGAAGAGTCTGGGAGAAGAGGAGGAGGAGGAGGAGGAGAAATTCCTGGTGCAACCTCGATCCTCTTCCTCCGGGATTCCGACGGCCGGGTCTGGTTTTCTGGCCGGAAGTCATTTTCCTCGCGGCAGCGTCTGGTGTCCTAGAAACGGCCCGGCGGCCGAGAGCGGGAGGCGGTTGACAGGATGCTGAACGCGGATCGCCTCTCTCAGCCGGGGCTCGAGTATCTGGGTGAGGCTCCAGCGGGCGCGGCGGGAGGAGGAGGGAGATGGAAGTAGCTTCTCCGTTGTCGCCGTGGGGCAAAGGTTGCCTTCCCGGGAGGGAGGGAGGGAGAAGTGATTCTGGGCTCCCTTTCCCTCGATCCTTTCTTGCCTGGGATGATGTGCCTACGGCGGAGCTTGCTTCCCCCGCGGCGCAGAGGACAATCACCTCGCCGTTTGCTGGCTTGGGAGGGCGGGGTTGGGGCTGTCGGCTTGCCAGCCCTCGGGCCACTTGCCCTGGTCGGTATCTTCCTCTCCCGTCCGAGATGGAGATATCATCCTTTAAGGGCACTGGGACCGAGCAAGCGTATCAGTGGAAGTAACTTGCTCGCTCTCGGAGCTTGGGACTAAATTGTGCTGTGAAGGGAAAACTGGAAATCACTATTAATGTCACCATTTCGAAGAATAACCATTTGAAGTAATAAACATTTACTTATATTGCAATAATATCACCCTGGAGGTGTCTGTAGGATTAAAGAAGACCCCCCACACACACCTGTCCCCATGTACTTTTTGCTCCCTTCTCTCCCCCCTATCTTTTAACGATAAATTATCATTTATTGCTTTATTCTTTTAATGATTACTGGTTTTAATATTGGTAAGCTGCCCAGAATTGCCTCTAGATGAGACAGGTGGCACACAAAAGAAAAGAGAGAAGAGAGAGAGAGAAGGAAGGAAAGAAAGGAAGGAAGGAAGGAAGGAAGGAAGGAAGGAAGGAAGGAAGGAAGGAAGGAAGGAAGGAAGGAAGGCTATATTACAATAACAGCCTAAATGAGTGATTGTTCATCACCTGGTTCTCTGGCAGTGGTGCTTCTGAGGAAGTGACCTGATTCACATATTGATAAGCCATAGTTTGTTGAACCATGGCACAGTTGTAAGGTCTACCAGACACCTGTTTCCTGGGTTCACATAGCCTTAAATTAAACAAAGTGCAATACAATATGTTTTGGTGCAATATGAGAGGCCACCAATTGTGATTTCATTAGTAAATCATAGATCAGCAAATCATGGCTTAACACAATGTGGGAATCTAGTCACTATGCAGGAAATTTCATTTACCACTGTAAAATAGCTGTAAATTTGCTTAATATCTAAATGTTTTATAATTTTCATCCACACATCCCCTCCTAATGTTTACTCTGTGTAACTGCACTTATTTAATTGGGTTATTGTGTTGTGTGAACTCTAGTTATTTTGACTCAGGAATATACACATTTTTCAAAATTATCTCAGTAGTTATGTGTCCTACTTGAATTAGGATGTAGCAGTCAAGTTGTATCATCCAAGCAAACTTAAAATGCTGTCCTGGCCTTTGAACGTAGAGATGTGAGCCTAAAGAGGACCTGCTAAAATAGGAAATGCTAGGCATCATCATCATTATTCTATTTCCTTCTCTTCTTGAGTGTTGGAGAGAAAAGGAGTGAATTAGAAACAAAATTGGGGTGAAGATGGCTAATTTTTTCTACACCCCAGCCATCTAGTTATTTGTTGAACAGATGGTTGGGATACCAGACCATTAGTCATCCTAATGCCTTTTACCATTTTTTTTGCCTATAGATACTTAGGTTGACAGGCACCTAGAAGTGGTAGTGGGTTTTTGAGTGGATCAAAATCATTTTGAGTTCTCTGTATCAACAAAAAGTTAAAGCCAAATCAAAATTTGACATATCACCTTGGTCTTCACAGGCAAAACAATTAGAAAACCATAAAACAAGGATTACCTTATTAATAAATGTATTCTGCAAACAACTTCAATTACGAAACTTAGATAGTTGACTAATATTAAAATAAATACATAGCAAAAGTTTAGTTTATCTTGTGAGCTGGAGGAAGTGAATACTATTTTTTAAAAAGTGGCTGAATAATTCTTTAATATAATCTAGTGAAAGTAAGCAAGGTTTGGAAAAACACCTTTGAATCTTTTTTGGCATTGACTTATGTTCAAACAGCATTCTTTGAAGAGAATAGCAACCTTCCTCCAAGTGCTTTATTATATTTCTCAAGGTCTTGCTAATAGTATTATTTGGCTGTGAGACTATGGGTAATTGTGACAAGAGAAACCAAATCAAGTTAATCTTATTCAGACTGTTTGTTGCCCAGGGCTGTCATATCAGGTGTTCTTTGAAGAGATGCTTAACTTGGCTTCCTTTTGGAGATGAGTAAACTATCTTATAAACACTCTTTGTCTCATGCACACAAAAGTAATGCAAGTTAAATGGGTGCTTCCAATAACCTTCCATATTCACAATATTTTCTATATGGCATTTTATTATAACAAAATATATTTCTGTGCAAAAAAAATTTCTTTACTCATCACAACATTTATATTCAATATACTAGTAGAAGTTGATGTTTCACAAATTACTTTTCATTGGTAATAAGAAATTGCAATGTCAGTTGCTTTGTTTAATAAGGAATAATATAACTTAACCTTTCTTCCCCAGCCGCTGTTTCCACAAACAACTGCTTGCCCCATCAACTTCCATGCAGAAGGAAAATCAGGTTTATTTGAAATAAAAACAGTTAATTTTCAATGATTTAAGCAGGAAGTATTGATATGTAGCCCAAAACGGGAGCCAAAAGTAATTGCTGAAGTTAAGGATGTTACCAATATGGAAACTAGGTGGTGAAATAAGTTCTAAAACGTTGCTCAGTTTTTGCAAAGTATGCTTAGTTTTTGTAAAATACAATTCAAGTACAAGTGCAGTTGTAAAATACAATTTAAATATAAGTACATCCATTCTTTTAGTGAATGTTCAAAGTTATAACAATACAAAAATGTGATTTATAACTTGTCCTCACACTTCTAACCATTGCAGCATTTCCACAGTCACATGATCAAAATTTGGGCACTTGGCAACTAGCATATATTTACTTTACTTTACTTTATTGTCATTACACCTTGTACAACAAAATTAAATGCTATCTTCAGTGTACATTATAACCATAAAAATAAAATATTTACAACAGTTGTAGTGTCCCGGAGGCATGTGAACACCATTGCAACCTTTCCAGCTGGCTTCTGACGTGGGAGGTCAGATTCACTTAATGAGCATGTGATTCAATTCACTTTGGTAAGTGATTTCCTTACCAAATCTGGCAAAAGTCATAAAATTGGGCATGACTCAATTAACCATCAACTTGCTTAGCAATGGAAATTCTGTCTCATTTGTGGCTGTAATTCAAGGACTACCTGTATTACTTACAACAGCGCTGTAAATTAGACCAACATAATTATCACATTTTCTGGAGTCCTTGGTGCTCTGAGCTTAGTTGTTTGCAAACACTTCATTACTGGACTTAGATAACATCATCAGTTAGGTAACCACCAAGCTCAGAGAGCACCAAGGAGTCCAGAAAATGTAATAATTATTCAATTCTGCACTAACATACTATCTTCTATTGTAATCACATTTTAGATGCCAGAGTTCAGGTATAATAATTTTTCCGTGGCCTTTTTTTTAATTTTTTTTGACTATTCATCCAAGGAACTTTCTGACTCAAAGTTCACATTCTTAGGTACACCATGTTTGATTCTGCTTCTCTTGAAATCTTGGTTCCTTTGATGAAACTTGGCCTTTTCAGTGAAGCGGTTTATATATTCCATCTCTAATTGAGGGCTTATTCTTCATAGAGCAATTTTGAAACTTTTAATTATTTTCCCTCTTGAGTTAAGTTCCTTTCCTTCCCCTCTCTACTAGAATCCTTTTTCCTTCATCTTGTGCCAGCTGTGGACATGTGAGAACATGAATCCCTGCCAGAGAAACTCTGCATTTTATAGTGCTTGGGTGTAGTCAGTGCCAGTGATGTTGTGCTCTCTTACAAAAAGGAAATGCTGTGGAATTGGTGTTTTTCTGTCATTACCAGCCAGAGAGTTTTTGACTTTTAATATAGTACCTGAAAACCAACTCCTGAAACACTGTGTATATGCATTTTGATTTCTGGACATGTTTTCCTTACTTTCTAACTTGCCACCTATCTTCACATAATTAAGTAATTAACATGTTATTTAGCTCTGTTAAATAAAACTAATATTATGTTACTTTAGTTATATCAGCAGTCTGGGTTCCTGCAGCACACTAAACCCATTTGGGTTGTTCGTATTTTTTTGTATCATGTGAATACCACTAGTGTGATTTTTAAACCATTGTTTATGGCATAGCAGCCATGAAACCAGACAGTTGTGCAGTAGAGTTGACTCAGCCTTCTATCCTTCCAAGGTCGGTAAAATGAGGACCCAGATAGTTGGGGCAATATGCTGACTATAAACCACTTAGGGCTGTAAAAGCACTGTGAAGTGGTATATAAGTCTAAGTGCTATTGCTATCTAATCAACCATGGTTAGCAAAAAATTACACAATTGGTTTCATAAAGCCAAAGACTGGGTTAGATCCGGACTAAATCAGCCACTATTGTAACTAAGGGCTTTTAATTTTTCCCATAGTTTTCAGATGGGATATATATTCAACTAATTAATTTGCTTAGTTCTTTCGTAGTCCTAAACAAAATATTTTCCAAATTTTTAATGTGGATGTACAAAAAATATACAAAAAACCCTATTGTCTGTTATCATCTGGTACTGTGGAGAATGCTATTCTGTTACCATATTGAAAAATAATCGAATTGCCATTCCCTTCAGCTCTTGTATATGCAATGGGACATGGCACTATCTGCTCTTCCATCTCAATCTGTAAATGGCATAGCAGCCATGAAACCAGACAGTTGTGCAGTAGAGTTGACTCAGCCTTCTATCCTTCCAAGGTCGGTAAAATGAGGACTGTAAATGTCTTGAATAAAAACCTGAAATAGTGGAAGCAAAAATGATAGCACTATGTGAAAAGCACTAATATGTAATATATGAATCCTTCCATCCTCCACCATTCAGTCAGAACTGAAGAAGCTTCTTGGATAAGAAGCTAAACATCTTCAAGAAAAAACAAAGTCCAGTTGTGTTTTGAAAAAACACCTTTG